TAGCGAGCAGAATATCATCGACATATAAAAACAAGAAGATATATTTACTCCCACTGAACTTGTGATATACACAGTTATTAACAACATTCACCTTAAAACCGTATGAGGTGATGACTTGATGGAACTTGTGTACTATTGACGGGGAAGCCTGTTTGAGACCCCAGATGGATTTTTTAACTTGCAAACTAACTTTGGATCTCCCGATACAAAGCTTTCTGGCTGTACCATGCAAATCGTCTCGCCAATGTCTCCATTGAGAAACGCAGTCTTGACATCCATCTAGCTCCAGATCAAAATGAACCACCAGTGTCATTATCGCTCTAAAAGAGTCTTCCGAAGATACCGGAGAGAGTCTCTTTGTAGTCTATACCTTCCTTTCAAGTAAAGCCTTTAGCGACTAGACGAGCCTTATATCTCTCAATATTGCCCTTTGAATCCATCTTGGTTTTAAATATCCATTTACAACTAATGGGCTTCACACCTTTAGGCAACTCGACGAGATCCCAAACGTCATTGTCTTCCATAGACTTCATCTCATCCTTCGGCATCAATCCACTTCTGAGAGTTAGAACTGCGCATGGCTTAATGGAAGTTGATCGGGTCATCCTCCGTTATATGTTCTTGGAGAAAGACGATATAATCATCTGACATTGCATTTCTTCTCTCCCTAGTGAATCTCTTCAATAACACTTCTTGAGGTTGTTGAGTTTGTTCTATAGGTGGTGCTTGAGGAAGAATCTCATTGTTGTCTTGGTCTCGAACAATGTCAGGTATAGGAGCCTGAACATTGTCATGTAGTTCCGAAACGATATCTTGAACAACAATATGTATAGAGACCCGATCGCCGTCAATAACAAATTCTTCTTTAAAGACAACATTCCTTATGTTTTCTTCCCCCCAGCCAAAACTCAATATCCTCAAGGAATCTCGCATTTCCCGTTTCAAAGAAGGATTTTGATGTGGGATTGTAAAACTTATATCCCAGAGAGCGTTCAGTGTAACCAACGAAATAGTAGCTGACTGTCCTTTAGTCCAGTTTTCTTTCATGTGGCCTATAAGGTCGTGTCTCAGCTGGACAACCCCAAATGTGCAAGTGCCTAATGGTAGGCTTCTTGCATGTTCAAAGCTCATAGAGGGTTTTGGCAACTTCTTTACTCAGTACCCTGTTAAGGATGTACACTGCGGTCTTCAAAACTTCTCCCAAAGTTACTCTGGTAAGGAGGAATGACTAATCATATTCCTTACCATATCCTTAACAGTTCAACTTCGTCGCTCTGCAACACCATTCATGCTGGGTTTGCCCAACATGGTGTATTGTGAAACTATTCCACACTCATTGAGAAAAATAGCAAAGGGTCATGAACGTTGTTCTCCCGATCCATCATACTTTCTGTAGTATTCACCACCACGGTCAGATCTGACAGCCTTTATTTTCTTTCCAAGTTGAATTGAAGTTCAACTTCAGCTTTGAAAGACTTGAAAATGTCCAGGGATTGTGACTTCTCGTGTATCAAATATAGGTAACTGAATCTTGAGTAATCATCTATGAACGTAATGAAATACTGTTGTTCATTCCAAGAAGCCGTAGGGAATGGACCGCAGATATCAGTATGTATTAGTTTTAAAACGTCTGTAGCTCTCTCGGTGCCTAATTTTCTAATATTTGTTCGTTTCTCCTTGACGAACTCAACACAAACTTGGAAGTTTGTTAAACTTGGGGGATCAAGTATTCCGTCTAATACAAGCCTCTGAATTCTCTACTTAGATATGTGACCGAAACGCTTGTATCATAAGGTGGTGGAATTGTCACTTAATTTTTGCTTTGTACCACATGAACTGGTTTGTAGTATTTCATTACAGGAACTAACAACATCAAGCATATACAAATTATCAATCAAATAACAGGAACTAACAAAATTTAAAATTTGAATTTTGATAGAGACTAACTTTATTATTTCCAAATGAACAAGAAAATCCTGATTTGTCCAAACTAGAAAAAGAAATTAAATTCCATCTAAAGGACGGTGCAATAAAAATCTCAAACAAATTCAAATAAAACCTAGTTTTTAATTGTAATCTGAAAGTCCCTATAGTCTCCACTGCAACTTTATTGTCGTCGTCCACAAAGATGAATCTTTCATTATCACTTGGCGGTCGACTCCACAGGCAACCTTTCATAGACATACTTATGTGAGTAATAGCACCAGAATCTACCCACCAAGTATCCTTAGGTACATAAGCTAAATTAACTTCAGAACAAACTAAAGTTAGAAGCATATCCTTCTTTACACGCCAAACAGTGTACTTCGAACACTCCTTCTTCATGTGTCCCGGATTCTTAAGAAGTAGCAGACGAATTCCTCATCATACTTCTTTTGTTTCTTCTGCTGAGAAGGTCATTCCGCAGTATCCTTAGCTCTCTTCCTTTTCTTGTTCTGAGAAGTTGATGTCAAGTGAGCACTCTCAGTCTTATCACGATACTGCCTATCTTCTTCTTGTATACAGTGAGATATAAGCTCATTGAAGGACAATTTGTCCTTCTGAGTGTTATAACTCACTTTGAATTGCCCAAAGTGTGCAGGAAGAGATCAAAACCAAGTGTACGAGCAAGTTCTCAGACAGCTCCAACTTAAGCGACTTGAGTTTCGATGCGAGATGAGACATCTCCATGATGTATTCCCTTATGTTTCATTTGCCCTTATACTTCATCGCGACGAATTTAGCCAAAAGGTTACTCGCCTCCGATTTTTCGTTCTTAGCAAAATATTGCTCAATTTCCTTAAGGTTCTGGCGCTCTCGCTCTCAATAATAGAGCCCCGAAACGCTTCCGAAATGGCACGTTTCATCATCAAGCACATTTGATTAGAGCAATTCCACATCTCAATTTTAACCTCATTGGGGTTTTTTGGAGTAAAAGTGGGTCGATTTGAATGAAGTGCAAGATCCAAATCCAAACAACCGAAGATAATCTCCACAGTTTCTTTCCAGACTTTAAAGTTCATCCCGCTCAGCATCAGGATGTTGCTGACTTAGGCAAAAACGTTCGTAGCAGTAGCAACAGAAACTGGATAGAGAACAAAATAAAGAAAAATAAAACATGCACAAAAAGTCCAAATTGGGAATCCATCTCAAGATACCTGGCACAACAATAATTCCTAGTTTTTGGACTGAGAAATTAATTGTAAGTGGTACTCTCAATACAATGATCAAATACCGACAATCAGTTCTATTAAACAATAACATTTCTTTGGACCAATTGTTGTTCACGTGAAAAGTCTTTATCATTGTCACATTTATCATCGTAGGTGCGTTGTTATTTGGCCAAACTATGTCTTCCTTTGGGCCGAGCATAGTTCGCATAAATGACTCCGTACAAAGAATCTATATATTTTCAATCAAACTAATCTACACAATAGGGGTTACTCTGGCAATATGTTGCTTCAATCAATTTAATTGAAAATACTAGACATCCAAAAGAAATAATCAAAACCAAAGTTTAAATTTATTTTAAAGTTTAAACCCCTTTTTTTTTAAAAATAAAATTCAACAGTCAACTATAACTGGTCAAAATCGAGTTTTAGACACCTTTTTTCAAATCCAAATGGGCTTGCTCACAAAATAGGATTGTAGGCCACTCAAATCAAAGCAAACATGGCCATCACTTTTGGTTAAAATACCGTAATTTCCTCTCTTTTTTTTAAATTATTTCACAAAATTGAAACTTGATTCAATAACCGAATGCATCAAAAACAACCAACAAACATTATATTATGAATCAAAATCCAATTTAGATATTCTAGAATCTTAAATTGATAAGGAAAAAATGACCTCAATTATTCTTAAACTTTAAGGAATTTCACAAATACAAACATTCTATTCGAGAAAAATAATCCAAACACCATATGAATAGAATATGCACAAATCCTAATAATCTAACAACGATGACCGCTCTGATACTATTTGTTAGAAATATAAATCATATCTAAAATTGAAACCAAATCTAGATGCAAACATTCTAGATTAAAATAACAAAAAACCTAGGATCTACATCATGCCAGAATATTAGGATTTACGATTTGGGTTATATACATGGATCCATTATGAACGATTGTTTACTGTTGTGAAATTACTACGACAATCAATCACGTACTGATGAACACGAACGATGGGGTGTGGTTTGTGATATTCCTCAATCAAATCGTCTTATTTCCTCAATTGAACCATCGTCCCTCTTCTAGATAGGGAGAAGGGAAACTATGTATAATTTATTATATCGGGAATCATAACAAAAGAGGTATTTATATATTACTTAGAGCTTGTTTGTCTACTATTATTGGTAGATAAATGGAGTAAGAAATAGTATTTTTTGGAGAATGTGTTATTGAAATTTAAAGTAACTTTATTAATTTGTATGTGAAATATTTTATGAGTGAATATGTGGTTGGAAACTTGGAATTGTTTACTGTAGAAAACAATGTTTGTAAACATGGTAGACAAACAGGGCTTAATTAGATTTCCCATGATCCTAATTATAACAATATTGACATCTACTCAATTAGCTCATATTTATTAAATAGCTAATATAATTGAATTAAATACGTTGTCAATAGAAAAAATCATTGGTTTTCCTAACCTCTTAAATATTTAGGAGTTGATTTTTCTAACCTCCTAAATAATTTAGAAAACCGGTCTAACATGTTTAGGACAGAATTTCTTGGTACCGTTCGTTTTGCGGTGAGTGACTCGGTCAGGAGTGCTGAATCAACTTAAAAATAAACCCTGACTACTCTTATCAAATGGCTTCACATTAGAAAGACACAAATCATTCATTACCAAATAAATAAATAAATAATCTACTTCTGAGACCATTACGACACCAGCTACAGCTAAAGGATTCCTTGTGAGAAAAGAAAATCTTATTAGTTGCAGTGGAGTGCAGCACACCAAACATGCCTTCTGTTTAAGCGAGGTAAAATAAATAAATAAATCAAAATAATTACCTCTGAACAGACATTGACAACAGTATGAAGGTCATTCCCAAAGGTTTCTTTTTCCTTGGACAGTTTCTGCAATAACTCGACTTTAAATTTCTGGGTTTCCTACATTTTTCCACAAACACAAAAGAAAAATCAGTAAAACATTATTTACAATTTAAAAATACTATCTTGAGTAATTTTTGACTTACAGCTGCCCCAAATTCTGGGATGGGGTCAGGATAGGTGTATTTTTGGGGTTGTGTTGCATTGAGAGCCCTTGAAAATGTTTTTGCTGGGACTAAGAGTCGACGGGTGCGCAGGATAGTATCATGACCGTTGGGGTTTTTAGCGGGAACCGCCGTAGGTTGGGGGAAGGGGGTGGCCGGAATGAAGGAGCAAAGTGACGCCATACCCAGAGCACACTAACGTACGCCATGTGTGCGCCTGGTAAAGAATGCGAAATCATGGGGCCATTGGGCCATTTCAAGTGTTTGTTAAGTCCATAGCAGTGCGAAATTTGGAAATTGACATATTACAAATATAGCACTAAATGGGCTGAATAAAAGTATATGAAAATCTTTCGCTCTTTCACTTGTAGCACTAACTTTTAATTCTGAAACAATGTTAGTCACTTGAGTTACAGAAATGTTTCATATCAGTCACCAAACTTTATTTTGGTTCTAAAGTAGTCATTGAATTTGACCTTTTTATTTGGTCACTATCTGTTAGTTTTCCTAACATTTCGACACGTAAAATGGCAACAACGTATAGGCCTCTTTTTTTTTATGTTAGACTAACGAAATTTAACTACATAATCAAAATAAAGCAAAATGCAAATTTTGGTAATCACTTATGAAACTTCAATCTAAACAACGTTAGTAACCTTTTTTTTTTCTTTACCCTTCTTTCATAAGTATACAAACAACTATATCAAGGTTACCGTTAATAAAGACAATGAACTTAAGGACAATTTGGGTTGGGAAATGCTTTTATTTATTTTTCTGTTCTTGGTCGAGAGTCCATTACTCATCAAACTATCTATAACGATATCATTTTTGAGTTAAAAATTAATCAAATCTCCGCGATATTCTCCATATACACACTATACATTTCAATCTCAAACATTTGTTGATCATAATTAGTGATTTAGTGCTAAAACAATAATTCCCTAATACAACACTTTATTTCATTTCTTATGATCAGACAGGTGAAAAATTCAGAAATATATCTGTCAAAATCTAATTTATTGACCATTTCGCAGCCACTTTTGTCTATATATAAAAAAATCACAGAAGCTGCCAGTTTCTTTTCCTATTAACCAATTTAAAAGTATATATACTCCAAATTGCTTTTTCTGATATAGACAGGAAAAAATACAGATCATCATATAAATGATCAAGTAAATCTATGGAGGTCCATGCACTATCACAAAGCAATAAAGAACATGTCATTTACACGCTCCTCTCCATATATACATATACATACACACATTACATATATAGTCATGCCTACCCCCCCCCCCCCCCCCCCCCCCCCCCCCCCCCCCCCCCCCCCCCCCCCCCCCCCCCCTANTTGATTTCTTGGAATCCAAAGAGAAAAATGTGAGATGGAAAGAGGAAAATTGGGCACCTCTTTCTGCTAAAACACATCTTTGCATATCACATGTTAGTTTCAAATTGAATCAAGATATTTTTGTAGTATATAAATTATAATTGACTTACTATTTACCCCTCTCCAGGCTAAAAATATATTACTTGCCACAAAAATATCTATGCGCTACATGTTTAGTTCAGTGTATTAAATTGGAAAATGTAGGAAGAAACAATGGACAAATATTTTATATACACATCTTTTTTTTTAATCTTATATTTTGGATTATGTCGAATAGAAGATAATATTTACTAGAGAATATAATTAAATATTACATAATTGCTTGAATTGTAACATTCGTCTCCATCCTATAGCATATTAAACTCCTCGAGGTTTCAATTTTTAGTGCAAAATGCCTAGTTACAAAATTGTCACTCAAGACCCTCATGAATTAAGTCTCGTCTCCTATAAATTTAGGGTTCGCCATATAATCTTTTTTCACCATTCCATTCAAAATTCAATACTAACTTGTTTGAGTCAAATTTTTTTTTTTTTTAACCATACATTTTTTAATAAAATAATATTTTTCATCACATCAATAATTTTTCCTTCTTTTTCAACCACATATTTCTCATCACATCAAATAAAAAAATGTATTATTGTGGAAATAATGTGGCTCAAACATGGGCGTAACTTAGAAAATGCTCCTAGCTACTGCTAAAAGGATTATCACCTTTACTTTTCTCTTTACCTTTAGACTGAAAACCTTGAAAAAAAAAATGCAATTTCAATGAGACAACAAGGATTTTTGGTTTTTGTTTTATCTTTTTTTCTACTGAAATTCAACATGGAATGTTCCCCATGAACTTGAACAGTTGATTTCTTGCATTCAGCATAAAATCACAGATATATGTGCAAACTGTGAGCATCATTCTAACTTTTGAATCTTTATTTTTTGCAGGGTCCAATATTACAACTTTACAGAAACCCCAATGACACGTTTTTACAACTCCAAAGAAAAAAAAAGGGTAAAAAGCTAAATTTGAAGGGTCCTCTTTGGCCAATAAAGTTGAAAATTCCATCACAAAAGGGTGTGTGAAGAGCGTTTCCTAAGCCCCTACAAACGCTATATATTTCATTGGGAGAGCAAAAAGTATTTTTGGCTTTTAGGGAATTGTACTTTGGATTCTCTTTAACAACCATTCACTCGAGGTACAAACTCAAAGAATATGAGACTTAATATACACAAAAAAAAAAAAGCCCTAAGCCATTTCGTCACACCCTTACCTTACGTGCAGACTAATATTATGTTAAAAGGCTCCTTAAAAGAAGCCAAGTTTTTTTTCCTTCCAAAAGATACTCGTTTATTATTCTATCAAATTTCAGTACCAAACATGCACTAAACCCCTTTGAACTTAGTCAAGCATGCTGGAGATTCGACTTCTTTTTCTTTCCTCAATACTTATTTAATCTTCTCGAGTTTATCGAATATGCCTTAGAAATTGTGGAACAACTTATTTAATTATACTTTATCTTCAAGACTAGGGATCATATTAATTCAAAAATTATCATGAATCCTATTCACCTATAATGTCTTAATTATAGGAGGTTCAATCAACCATCTATGTCTCGTGATTTCTTTTCATTATTTATTTTTTTTTATTTTTTTTTTTATGTGTGGCACCAATGAAGGGGCAATTTAGTGGAAATCTATTCGTCACACAATCCCCAAATTCTTATTGGTTTGATCTATTTTGCATTCATTGAACCATTTAGGATTAGGACCCATGGCTATAGCTACAGCCACATACTCAATACATTTTCTAAGAGTAATACTATTTAATCTCACTGGGATTGTAACCTAGACATTGATGTGATTAATAGTGTATTTGATTGGTATGAAAAATATATTATAAAAAAGAAAATATTTTCCTTGTTTCGAGGAAAACAGAAACATACTCCCAAAAAAAAAAAAATGTTTTCCTTAAAAATAAGGAAAATTATGCATACTTAGTTGAAACATATTTTCTATGGAAAAAAATAGAAATCAAATACTTCATATTAGGAATTTGGGTGGAAAATTGATATTTTTTATGGAAAATAAATGCAATCGAACACATCATAAATGTTAAGTGAACCTTTCATTTAGCCTATTATCTAGTGTCACTTACACTGAGGTTGCAACCTAGTGTGACTACATAGCATTATTAATTTTCCAAAGTCTATTTTCTTAGCTATAATATTAGTTTTAGTTTGGCAAATGTTACAACTTTTTGACCCCTTATAAAAGGGATTACATTTATATTTACAAAATGATCATATTGTTTAATGGGAATAGTTTAAGATACAGATTTTCTTAAAACAAAGTCTATTTATATCTTATAACATCAATATTTATACATAATTCATAAGGACGTCTTGATCGAAGGACACATTGTCATTCGACATCAAACTCAAATGGATCTATATGACAATGAATCAAGCCACTTATTTGACAATCATTAAAACAGTTTTTAGGGATAATGGATTTTGGAATTGTGAAATTTTTAAGAATATGTGATTAAAAAATAGGAAAAAAATTTGGATTTACTTGCAATATTTTTTTTTGAGAATGTGTGAGTGAAAATGAGTTTGAGAAAAAAAGTTATATTTTAATGGTTGTCAAACAGTGGCCAAATAGAATGTCATGTACCCTCTATTGCATAGATAAGAATTTGCATTTTGTATGACCAGAAATTGACTCAAATTTAGAGTCTGTTTGAGCTCAATTTTTAACTAAATGCATTTTGAAATAGTAGATTGATAGAGAATTTGTGATTAAAAAATAATAAAAAAAATTTTTTTTTTTTTGTATAATATTACTTTAATGAAGAATGTGTGGTTTAAAAGAAAATAGATAAAAATATATTTTGAAAATGATGGGATCTGACTTAATAAAAAGAGCAAAGATCCAAAAAAAAAAAAAAGGTGGTAGGCCATAACGGAAATGAAAGAGGGAAAAACTTACACATGGCAAAAAGAAAGAGAGGTTAATATTCAAATACTTTACCAAACTTCAGAGTGATTAATGTGGAAATATGCACACGGCCGAAAGGTAAAGTGAAAAGAAGAGAGAAAAAAGGGAAACAGTGAGAAAGACGTTAATTGATTATTCCTCTTATGTGAACGTTAATAATACAGTGTGCTTAATAGATTTATGTTCTCTCTCTAATTTTTCTTATTATTATTATTTTTTTTTTTTTAGCTCCATTTTCTTAACCATATATAAAATTCTAACAAAAATTTACTGTCCATTGCACAAGTATTTGCATTGTGCAACTGTTTTTTTTATTTTTTTTTATTGAATCAATTTTCAAATGAAAATAAGTGATTATCAACGGGTTAATTTCATAAACGGTCAATAAACTTATCTAAAAATTACAAAACGGTCACTGAACTTATTATTAGGATTGCTATGATGTTAATTCAAACTTAAAGGACAAAAACACATGGACATAGAAGTTTGAGGACCTCAAGTGCAAATTTCTTGCTATTTAGATAAAATTGGATTAATTATGGGGAAAAGGATGCTTATAAAGTGAAACAATTTTAAAAAGTCTTGTCCATATCAGTGTCGATTATCTCAATCCCGAGTTGTCCCCAAATTAATATCAGTCATAGAATTCTAAGCAGATAAGCTAAAACTCGTTCTCAAAACTCATTCTCAAATTTTATTATTAGGTGGAATAGTCTTTAAAGATGTGAGATTTTGTTCATAGTTTCCTATTATGTACTTTGTCAAACAAAATACCGCATCATCTCATATCCACATTAATCGATAATTTTGTAGTCCTCATCCTCAAAGTAAAAAGAATTAGGGGTGGACATTGTTCAATTTGATTCTGGTTTCAAAAGAATCGAACCGAACCATAAACCAATATTTTTTTTTTTTATAATGAAACCAAATAATTTTTTTTTTTTAACATGTGGAACCAAACTGGAATCGAACTATTCGATTCTGATTTGGTTTGGTTTGATTTTAGTTTCATTTTAAAAAATTTTCAGACCTGTACTATATCCTTAAATTAGTAATATATACATAAATAAAGAAAAATAAATATCAAATATTCAACAATTTCAAATTATCAATTATTAAGATCACAAAAGTCCAAACTAACAAATAAAAATACAGTCATAATTCTAATATCAAATCAATTTTCATTTCCATACAAAAGATTATCTAATAAATAATAACAATGATTCACTAGATTAATTGTAGTGGTTTTGATGGAATTATACAAAACTTTTACACTCCATTTTTACGGACAGTCATTAACTGTTTAATATTCAATGAACGTTTATCGAATTTTTCTCTATTTGTGGATAATATAAATAATTCATCAAACAATCAATGTGAAAAAATAGTTTAAAGGTCTTTTAAGTAAACGACCAATTTCGTTTTTCAATCTTGAAAGAGTCTCTCCTCCACTAACGTAATGAAATGATGTTTCGACGTGCTGCGGTATTGTCTAAATTGAAAAGGAGTGAAAGATAAATGATTCAAAATAATAAGGGCTCATTTTCTACTTCATCTTCATGTCCAAACTGTGTAAGGTTTTGTTCGTACTTTTCCAGTAAAAAATATTGTATTTAGATAATGTATTCAGGATTGACACGTGGATAAATTCGACTGCTCCCAAATTAATATATTTTTTTTGGTTTCTAGAAGTTGATATTTAGATACCATTCCAACAAGGTAATAATGTATGACTTTACTGGCGAAAATTCTGTCACAAGCTAGTTGTTTTTTTCTTCATTGTGGACCATTAAACCAGCTGTTTGATCTTTTCAAGGTACGTGAAATATGATTTGAGGATTTCTCCATTATTAGTACATGTATGGTTTGTAGGGATAGAATTAGTCCCTGAATAACGGAAGTACTGTCTGAATTATATCATCATCATAGACCATATATATAAAAGCCATTGTGCCATGGTTTTTAATATAAATCAATAAAAAATATGTCGGGATGTGGAAACATCAACTTTATTTCCACCGGCCTTTTTTTAAATACATTGATGATTGATGAACAATACTAGATATGACTAAAGTTGTCAGTACGCAAGAGTTGTGAATTTTGGATCTGATTCTTTTTCAAGTTGAGTATTCGAGGGAACGTCATCATGTCCATTTCAGCTAGAAACTTATGACCAAGACGGTGAAATTGAATTTTTTCAAGTCCTCCTTTTATTGCAAACTTAGTCAAGGCAAAGATCTTTTCTAAATTTGACTTGAATGCAATATTTTGGTTACTCGGGATCAAACTAGAAGAAAGGCACAAGACATCGCTTTGTATACCAAATCAACATTTTCAGTGGACAGTGATCTCTTTTGTTCTCGAAACAAAGCCATCCTTATTCCAAAAGACGATGGTAAAAATATTTCAACCACTTCTCAAACCAATTTTGGCTTGAGGGAAATTTACCCACGATTTTGTGTTTATATCTGAAAACAACTTTCTATGCATAGTTACTAACCATTTCTTGTCATTGAAAACCCTGTAACGATTAGGAGAAAATATACCTATGAAAATGCTCCTTTAGTAAGAGAATTAAGCTATTTGTACCCTCTTATTTACCCTCTTGTTTACCCGACCCCACCTGCCCTCTCACATGGAGGTCGGGTCCCACATCCAATAAATGCATGGGGCCCGACCTGCGTGTGAGAGAATGGGTGGGACCGAGTAAACCAAAGTGTAAATAAGAGGGTACAAGAAGCAAGGTCCATTATTTTAAATTTGAGTAGTGTTATTTATCATTGGTGTTCATCAATAATTATGATAGTAGAGTTGATGTCACATCGTTCAATGAAGTTGAAATGTATTTTTATTCGTTGAACAATGTGGTTGTAACTCTAACAAGTGTTAATTAAATATCAGTGACGATAACTAACATTATTCTTTAAAATTTATTATTCAAGTCTCGACGACGAATTGATTTGATATTTCCAATTTCACTCGATTTGACTCACTATGAGTAGCCGACATGAGTACATAATTGCAACTGCTAAGACGGTGTATGGAAATTGATATATAGCCTCTGTTTGGCTTCATTTCATTTTGCTAAAAATCACTTTTCAAAATCAAATATTAACATTAGGCACACTTTTCGCATAATTTATAAGCATTACTTTTATCTTTGAAAAGTATAATTTATCAAAATAAAATGAATCCCAAACAGTAAAATAGAAAGTTGACCCTCATGAGTCATGTCAGAAATCAAGGGAAGATAAGAGAGCAAACATGGGCCATTCACGAGATTGCGCTGTTTAAGGAGTCATATTCTTGAATCACTGTTTTTAAATGCTCGAGGGACCAATTCCTAGTCCACACGCCAATGCTTCACAAAATTCCAACTTTCTTGTTAAAAAGTTTTCTCAGTAATAAATAAAACAAATTGCACAGCTACAAAATCTCGTTGTCAATCACATGCATGGCACAGACCCTGTATTTTCATGGGGTGGGGTGGGGATGGAAGGAATAAAATTCATATAAATAGTTTCCCATTTTTATTTAATCCAAATACATCACTCACCAAACAAGGCCCCAAAGACCTCTGTATAATTTGGCAAACTTTAGGCCATCAAGAAAAAAGAGAGAACGAAAAATCAGAGAAAAAGAATACCGGCATGTATCCGTCACACACACACGAAACATCACTCAAAATAATGTCCAACAAATCGTTAGGACAATCAAGAAATGGGCATCTCCCGCGGAAAAGGAAAAAAGCACACGTGCGTGTACACAAATCACTCAAAATCCAAAAAAAAAAAAAGTCTTTACTTTGATGGAGCCATGAACCCTTTTTCTTCACTGCTTTCTATAATTTCTTCACTTCTTGCAAAATAGATAGGGGGTGGCTGATGCAATGATGGTGGCCTAGTCTAGCTTGACTCATATTTCATCAACTGCTAAAACTTCAAAGTTTTAGCTAACCCCATTGATTTTCACTGCGGTTTCAGGTCCCACAATACCTTCTCCATTCATTCAATAATCAATTAATGCTGCCTTTGAAATCAGTCACTCTCCCACTTTCATTTCATACTCCATTACTCCACTACTAGATATCCAATAATTTTCTCACACTCCCAAAATAATATGTACCAAATCCCCTTCCCTAGGGAATCAGCAAGGCCAATTCATAAATATTCATGAATGGCAATGCTCACAAAAAAAGTTAATAATAAAGTCTCCCAAACTATCCAAACCTTTGTACATACATTATACCTACTACCTTATCTACACCACCCTTGTCAATTCTTTTTTTATCCCAGTCCATCCAAAAAAATATGGAGATTCTAGACCAGACAACTTTTAGATTAACAAACCATTTTCTTTTAGATTTTTTGTTTCTTCTCTTATTTTAAAACCCTCCTGCCATTAATCCGAGCTTTGTTTGTCATTATCCACCCATAAACTATTGTTTAGCTTTCTTCGTTTACAAGATGATGAGGATGAGGAGGATAAGGATGAGGAGTCGTTCCACACGACACTTGCCCGAGTCATGACTCGGAGCTGAGGTAACACTTTTGGTTGCTTCCTAGGCCTATCAGTGAATGCGAATTGTCTCATCAATAGGTGGCAACTGATGATTTTGTCCTGTGAAAAGAAAAGTCAGATTGTTTTTTTTTTATTATTTTTTTTCCTAAATTAACATGCGGAGTGCATTTTATGTCAATTAAAGTGTGAATATCTTTCTTACTTTGTGGAGTCCATCACACCATGATTCAGCATGTTGAGCGGTAACTAAAGAGAAATGTGGGAGGTCATTTGCTGCACAAAGTATTGTTGCAGCAGCAATGCACGATGGCCTATACTCAAGGAAGCTCGTCTCTGTTGAATAAAAGAAAATGTAATAAATAACATTAAATTTCCATTTTTCAACTTCAACATGTATATATATTTACGATGGACTCAGGTACACGAATACTCATATTTTCATTCTTTCACGTGAAGCGTGTTTTGCCATGATTTTTAAAGTTACTTTTTAAGTCGAAGTAACTTTCTTGAAAAATAGCTTTTAAACACAACTAAAATCCTCGAGTTCTTTATGTTAACGAGGATCAAACTTGTCTAATTATAATACCTTGGATAATCGACAGAATAATTTCAGTTGCCCTCGACGTAAGGAATCCCGTGTAAGTTCCTGTTGGATCAATTTTTTGGGCAAAAAAGCTGAGAAAGCTGAATGGAGAAATGGATTGCAGCCTCCAATCCAGTACACGTAGCACAAGAAGCTCCATTCTTTGGATATTTCTTGGTTCAAAAATAAATTTTGGACCTTCAACCTAATGAAAAAGTTGATTAATTCCAAAAATAAGAAATTATATAAGCATAAATTTGAAAATCACCTGAAGATCCAGAAGAGAAGGGACCAGAGGTTCCTCCACTTTAGCAGCTAATGACAAGCATGCAATGGACAATAATTGCACAGGCCACCCATTCATTTTCTGCAATTATTCAAAGGAAATGTGAAAAATAATTATTTAATTAGTATAATAATCATAATAATAATTACTATTAATTTAATAACAATGATACCATTTGAATGCATAAATTCCCAAGTATCGAAAAAGACAAGTGAACCTTACTGACATATACTTTTAGGAGATAATTTTTATTATTAATTTTTTTTTATTAACACGCATGATAATAAATTAAATTAGAGGAATCCTTGATTGCACGTACTCCATTATTTAAAATTAAATAATAATAAATCATATCAATTTTTATTTTATTTTTTCCAAAAAAATAATTTCAACTATTGCTTAAAACCAAATATCATTAAAGTACTTAATTATTTACTAATTACATTAACATATTATTAGGGTACTTTTCATTTGTCTTGATAGGATAATGTAAAAAGTACTTTTCGACAAAATAAGTAACTTAAAAGCCATTACAACCAATAGTGAAAGGAACTTTACCCTCAATTGATGGGAGTATAGAAAACGATCGAAATAGTTGACGGAGAGATACACCGTTAACGGCTGAAAACCATAGTAACGTTTCACCTGCAAAAAAGAACACAGTCATTTCTTCGAATCAAAAAGTGCGCCTTAAATTCTATATTACTCCAAAATCGAAATCACTGTTTCATCGCCGATATGAACAAACAGGAAAAACAGTTCATTTTCGCCCACCACGGCACATTCTAGCACCGTCCGCCATGCTAAAATGCGCCTATGAGGATAAATAGACGAACATAGAGAATTTCTATTATTATTCACCGGCGTTCCGTAGCTAACTTTGAACTGGATAACGTGCGCCGTGCCATTATTCTCAAACCAATTTATATTTGAATCGTTTAATAGTTGTAGATAGCGCTGTGCGCACATGTGCATGCTAACGAAAACGATTAAAACAGTCGGAATCTGAGGAACGATACCTTCAGAATCCATGCAACAGAATCTGCTCTAGTTGATGCATCAATAGATTGGTTTGAATGGGACTTTTCCATATAATTGCTGCACGGAACCATGAAATCTCTCTCGTTCTCTATGAGTCCGGCAATCGATTCCTCGATATCCGGCTGTGGGAAATCCAGGTCCGACGAGCACTCCAGAAGGTCTTCTCCGCCACTGGAGAAGATAATACTGGAGTCCTCGCCGCAGAGAAGGTCGGAGAAACAGTCGGAGCACGACACTGACATGTCGAATGCGATCCCTGATCATTCTTTTCTGATCATCCTTACGTTCTTTTGGTTTCAAATACTCGCCGGAGATTCGCCGGAGATGCCAAAACGATGACTTGGAGAAGAGAGTCTGAAAAGAGAGAGTGGACTGTGTATATTTAGGTTTTTCTTTGTGTTTGTTTTCTTTGGATATATAACAAAATTTTGTTTTTTATTTTAATTTTCTTCTCCACATTCTTTTTCTTTATTTATGAAGAAAATAGGATGAATGGAAGTTATTTTACATTTTTTTTTTCATGTTGAAAAGAGTATATGTATGTTATCATTCGTCCATGAAGAAAAAACTTCATTAAGTTCGGCGATTTGAAATGTTCGTCTTTCATAAAGAAATGCAGTTGTGTTGAAAAGATAATTAGCTCGCCAGGAAATGTATATCTGGGTAAAATTATATATTTAGAAAAAAAATAGTCATTATTGTAATAGTTGTTGATCAGTATAAAGAATATATTGCCTTATAAGAACGAAAAATTATAACAATTTGTTTAATCGATACAAATTGTTAACTACGAAAGGGAATCTGGTGAACTTATTGTCACCGAGAGACAGAACATTACGATAATCATTCTAGTATGAATTTTTCTATCTTATAATTGTACAATCGTTGAAAATACTGTACATGTATTTCATAAAAATCTTTGTCACATGCCTAGTCTTTTCAATGTCTTGAACTATCAAGTTGATTATAGTACTATATTTAAACACATTAATGAGAGAGGATTTTTGTTTGAACCATCATGAAAAAATAAATATTAAATGCAATCGAGAAACATGGTAAATAAACTGTTATGGAAAAGTATTATAATTTTTGAATTTTATTTCAATTTTTGAATTTTTTGTGGGAATAAGTATAAGGTAAACGAAATTTGAAGTTATTTATATGAAAATATATATTGAAAAGTAGGTCTCACCACCTTCCTCCTTTACTTGCAATTCGGCATACAACTCGAACTATTTTGGAACTATGTGCATGTTAAGCGATGCTTGAATTTTAATTTAAACTAATCAAACATATTTTTATCTACACATAACTCAAAATTCACAAGTACATAAAAATACTACAAAGCGTAGTCCCATCGTGCTATTCCGAATGTGGGCATCCAAACCCATGTTACACATGTTAGTGTAGGCAATGATTTGTCAATTTGAAATTGTGAAAAAGTTGTGAGTAGTTGGTGCAATAATACAAGTAAATTAAACCCTCTCCCTTCATCCCAAATGGACTCACCTTTACATGTTGATGAAGTTGATCTATTTATGTTGTTGATGACTAAAATATTTCATCCAATTCCATTAATATTATGTAATTGTTGGAATAATTGCAATCAATTAAAAGGTTGTACTTGAATGCAATATATGTTTAGTTTAGTTAAAACTATAACATCATATGCCATTTGTAGTTTCAAAGTACAAGTCTTGTAGATCTTTGTTGGATATCATTTTTTCTTCTCACTTCATTACAAAATCCCTATTAGCCCATTTTCTATCCTTTCGTGCGGATTAGAACTTACTCAATAAGGAATTCCACTACTTTAAATTTGCTATAGTCAAAGTTTTCATTTATAGAGTCCTTGGTCATCAATTTACAATAGGTCACCAGCTTTCTTGACTTTCTGACATTGAATTAACATGAACCCTATTTTTGAATAACTTGAAATGAAAGGAGATATTTCTTGCTCAGCGCCTAAAGTGCTATATGCTCCACTTCAACAAATGAGAGTTGTCGGTGGAACCAGAGAAATCACACAAGCTATTAGATGCATGGGTGACATTTGAATCCCGTTAAATGTTGTGGTTTTGGTACTCTTTTAACGTTATATCTCCTATGGATTTCAGACTTTGTTACAAAACAACTTGTATGGAAAACAAAACGGCCGGTCGAATAGAGACAATATTCGACAATAGACTATAGTGATCTTGAATAAACTTCCTATGGTACCCTTCCCACCATCAAAGCTAAGTTGACCCAAAGGAACTATTTTTTCTCACTACTGAGTTCTCATCAAAGCTATAGTGTTGAAAACTGCCCTCTCATGAAGATATATTTTTCTTTTTTAGGATAGATTTTTCAATTGCTGTCCTCCAATAGCCTGTTCAAGTTTCTTCATTGCATATGGTCAACTGTTTGTTAACCTGCCATCTACATAATCGTCATGTCAATTTATTGCATGTTTGGTCAATTCTCATTAAAGTTTCCAAATTTTAAATTAAAGTTCAGCCTCATAATTTCATTATTCACCTCTCTTTATCTGTTCAGGCGCAACCAATGTCTTTGTATTTTTTAGAGTTGTTTCTAAATTCCATCTTGTTTATTAGTTTAAATGAAGATGTACCAAGATCATTGCTGCACTTCACGAAAAAAGTTTACGTGCCACTTGCATAGTAACCGTAACTTGTAGGGCCGATAACATACCAATTAAAGGAGATCAATTCCATAAAAAACAAGATCGGTAAAGGATAATCAATGAAATTTCATCGTTATAGAAATCGTCCATATTTTAAATACCGAATTACTATAACTATCCTTCTCCTAACATACGTAATATAAACAGTATTTACGAAAAGTATATTTTAATGTTATCTAGTATAATAAAATATGAAAAACCCTAGTCAGCATCCCATGAATTAGAGGGCATTGTTGCCCATCCTAAGGATGTGATATTGGGCTGTGTTGGAGATGTCTCTCTCTCTCTCTCTCTCTCTCTCTCTCTCTCTCTCTTCACAGTATATTTTTTTTGTGTTTCTTCTACTCAAATAGTCCTTATAGGCTTTGTCATATAGCATTGGTATAGTGGAACATCATTTTCAACAATAGCTATCTTTGGATCAACTTGTTCTTCTTTTGCTCTATATTTCTAACATTGTATTATTTGGCACTCTCAATGGTGTGGTTTTTAAAGATTATTCTTTCTTGGTACTTTAATTTCTTTTTCCATTATAGGAATAGTGGAAGGAACTATATAATTTTATGCACAATTTTATTTTTAAAAGTAATTAATATATATTTATTACGCTTGACTCAATATAGTGGAGCAATACCTGCAAAATATTTCTCAATTTCAACCTTTAGACAGCATGATGTCACAGATGATGTCTAGTCGGGGACCAATTATAGGTTCTCACATGATAATCAAAGGGGGATTATTAATTTGCAAGTTGGGTTAGGAAAAGTTCAATTTCACATTTTAATTAAACCCTAAACCATAGATCAAAATATTGGTTACTTTCATCCAAAAGCACTTTTTATTTACACCAATAACTATGGGAAAATGTTACATTTTAAACAATGTATAGTACTATGCATTCATTTTGAAACAAAATTCTAATTCTTAATAAATTTAATGTCGACTATATGATACATTCTCGTCATTTTATTAGGTTCGCCGTTACGTCTACTAAAAGATTTGATCAACTAAGTTATTAACAATTACTTTTGTGTAGTCCTCTCCTATTTTCTATGGAGATAAACTCTAACGAGCTAGAGTCTCTTTAAAATTATGAAATGTATTCCAAGTACGATGATTTGTCTTCATTCGGTGTCATGCAGGGGCAGACCCGGGGGGTGGTCCTGGGGGGTCACGTGACCCCCCAACTTTTGAGGTTTTTTTTTAAAATAAAGTTATGTTCGTTATCGATTGAAATCTAAATTTTAATCTAAATCAAAATTAACAATTAGTTTTAGTCAAATATTTCATGGAATTCATAATTGTTTTAACTTTTATAAAAATTTACTAAAAAATTGATTTTAATCTCCACAAAAAAGGGGACAAAATTACAATAAATTTGATTTTTCTCTTTTCTCTTGCTCTCTCTTATTTTTTTCCTCTCCACTTTTAACAAAATCTTAACCCTTCTAATTTTTTAAAATTTGTATATAATTTCTTTACAAATTATAACATTTACTATTAATCTTCACTTTCCAATCAAATTTTTAAGTAATTAGAACCTAAATATGCATTTTCCCACCTATCAAACTGTGTACATAGAATGTGTTTGAACTCATTATATTCAATTTGACTTATATTTAACGAATTGTGTTTATATGATTTATTAATAGTATTGAATATTAGTTATGTGTTTTTCCTTTCGATTACTTGAATTGATTGTTTATATCAAATACATTATAAGATTTTTAAACGTAAATATGCATTTTCTTGTGATAAACAAAACATTAATAAAATGATTCTTCGAAATCAAATGGATGAAAATAATCAACAAAATATTAATGAATAAATGTTTTTTAAATGTAAATCTACATTATTTCGAATCAAGTATGAATCATTCAAAAATAAAAAATAAAGTATTCGATTTGTACATGGTTTGATTGTACCCCTTAACTCAAAATATATGCGTCCGCCCCTCGTGTCATGGACCATTTCCCATGTAGTTCCCTTGTAATCAATAATTAATTTCGTTTAATTACATTATATAACTTATTTTAGAAAGAATTTTACTTCTAAAAATCACAAGGAAATATATAGAAAGAGACATTATATTTTGCAATTTATTTTTTTGTATTTATGAACATTTTGTCATTGTGTAACCAGGTCAAATTTAAATGCTTATAGAATCATTATTGTGGTGAACTGGAATATTGAAATCAGGTAGCATAATGCCAGTGCTGAAAAGACAACTTGTCTTTTTTTATCCATGATTAGTAAATTATCAAATAATTTATTTGTCTAATTATGTATATATCTATCAAAAGACACAGTAGAATGTGTCTTGTAAATTAGACAACATAATATAAGACACCATTAGTAAATGTTTGTTTTAATAATGTAAATATATATGACCAAGTAAACATATAATATGCCAACAACCAAACATAATAAAATTATTAAATTAATATTTCAGGAAATTAGATTTCATAAATATATGTTCTGATGTTTGAGTTCTGTGTTTTGGTATGGCTATGTCCCAACTCTTAACTTCTTATGGAAATTAGACCTCTAAATTAA